GGGACTTCAGCCTCGTTCTGGAGCTGCGGGCTGACTTCCCCCCGGGTCAGCTCTCCTGTCTCTGAACACGAGCCGCAGGGTCTGACATGAAGCTTCAGAGCAGCCCTGCCCTTCTGCCCCCCTGAAGACAGTGGCCGCTTCCTGTGTCCATTCTTCCCGCGTGGGCACATGGTGCGCGCTCATGTGCGTTTTCCCTGAGCGGGACTTCAGCCTCGTTCTGGAGCTGCGGGCTGACTTCCCCCCGGGTCAGCACGCCCCGCCTGCTGGCCCCATGGTTCCATGCAGTGCCCTCTCCTGGGACGGGGCCCCCTTTCACAGACGGGGTGTGACGGGTGACCTCGTGCGGGAAGTACACGCAGGGCTCCCAGGGGGCCTCAGGCCAGGTGGCTGCAGGGAGCCCGTCCAACAGGACCACGGCAAGGCCCAGTGGGTTGTCACACAAGGTCCTCTGCCCGGCAGAGGACGGGGTGCCCCGCTCGCTTCTGTCACGGAACAGCTGAGCGTAAGAAATGCAGAAAATGAAGTGAGATGGGGCCGGCCACGGGCAGGGTGGCTAAGGTGCTGGACTCCCAGCCAGCCAAGGTTCGAGGCCAGGACCTGGTGACCTGCTTTCTGACTTCCTGTCTCTCTGCTGTCCCTCTCTGGGCACATTTAAATAGATAGATAGCAGTGACATTACACTTCAAATGCTCAGGCTAGGAGAGAGAAAGGGGTAGGTGGAGAGGGAGAGAAGGGGTGGGCTCTGGACTGCGCGTCTCCAAGTTCGACTCTCCTCTACACAGTGGGAACGCCGCCTGGGAACCCCGAGAATGAAGTCAGCTACCGCGCCCCTCAGGTGTGCGTATGGCTATTTGCACACACCCGTGTGAGCGTAGCTACCCCGCACGTTACGGAGTGGTGTGCAGGTCACACCGCTGACCCAGTCTCCCCTTTGCACACGACCGCACCCGCCAGGCGTTCGTGCCCGGCTGTTTAGCCCCACGGCAGTGTGAGCTCGCAAACTTGCTGTTACTTACAGAAAGGAACTGAGTAGCAGGTCAAAAGGAAAATAAGGCTTATTCTAGTGTCTATTACATACTCTCTGATTCCATCCTTACATGTCCGGTTGTCAGAAGAGTCAGGACGTATTTCTCTGCTTTTTCTATGTGAAATGTGTGATGACTCTGCCGACAACCCAGTGCTTGCCCTGACAGACTGTCTTTTGCGGCGGAGGCTGCTGAGGCTCCACCTTGCCAGGACAGATCTTAGATTTGACTAAAACATTCATGCTCCCCAAGGCCAGCAGGTGGCGTGGTGGTGAAGGCCCTGGAACGCCACATGGCCGACTGTGGTTCGAGTCCCAGGCCTGGTGGTTTGCTTTCTCTTTCTCTCCTCTCTCTGTCTCTTTCTGGTGAGCACATGTGCCCTGTAGCAAATTAAAAAAAAACAAACAAACAACAAAACCAAACCAGCCAAGAAACAAAACCCATGTTCCTTCTACCACCAAAGCATTTCAATTTCTGTAAATATTTTCTCCCTTTCTATTTTAAGTGATGGGAGAAAAAAAATGCACTTTGAGTACCAGTAAGCACCATCTGCTGGAGGAATTCCACATTTGCCGTCTCAGTGGGCGGGCTATGGTTAAACGTGGTCAGTATGGGTACAGTATGAGTGGTAATACAGCCAACCTAATACACCTTATTGTACATTACCTTACAGATCAGAAATGTAATCCACTCGTAATTTCAGCTTTATTCTCATCTAGTGAAGGCCAGTGCTTGTAAACTACAACAAATAGCTAGCCAAAGGGCGGAGAGACCTGTGCTTTAGTCATAAATAGGAGACCCGTCCTTTTTGGCCGAGGTCTATAGCTGGGTCTACGTATGGTGGCCTTCCTGAATCCCACATTGAGACCAGGTTGGACAGGTGTGAGTATACTTCTGGGGGCCCGTGGGGACAGCTAAACGTGGGGCAGTTCAATTTATGTCACATTTACAAGTGACCTACTTGAAGCTTCACAGAGACTAACTGCCTAGCATGCACGGGCCGGCTGGGGGAGCTGAGTCCCACTTCTCCACGTGGCTTCCAGCACTGCAGAGCTACTGCTGACCTCCGGGGCTGAACTGCCTTGTTTAAAGACTCACAACCTAGGGAACCAGCAGTTAGTGTAATGGCTATGTCGCTGGACTCCCACGTAGTCGA